TCCCTACACAGGAACACTAGCTGACATATTAAGCAAAAGCTCTGTAGTTTGTGTTTAATGCCAACTTGTCACTGATTTGTTTCCTTTTTCTGTTCTTGTCACTAACTCAGACCCCTGGGAGTATTGTCAAGATTACACAAATATTACCTTAAAGTCCCATGACAGATGAGAGCTACAGTATGATGACAAATCTCCAACCCTTATTAAGATTATAGTGATTGTCATATCAATATATAGTAACCAGATTACAAGTTACAACAGAGTAACTCAAAACCAAAATATCAACATCAAATGAAAAAATATAGCTTTTTGCTCACATCTCAACATTATTGTGGTTGTAGTAAAACTTGTGAGTGTGTTGTCTCTTTTGAATCATATGTAGAAAGCCTTGCTATACTCACTTGGAGGTGTGGCATTTGGAGTCGATGTACTCACATCTACAGGGGTTATTGAAGATGGAGCTTGATAGCCTATTTTGAAAAAAAAAAAATCAAATTGTTATAGATACTAACATTCACATGTTTAACTCTGCCACTACAATTAACAAGGGTAGCATGCACAGCATGGAATATTAGAGTTGGCAAGAATCTTAATGAATACATAATTTAATGGCTTCATTTTTATAAATTATGAAACCGAGTCCAAAACGTATATGCGTGCAGTTGCATACTCAATATTCAACATAATTTATTTGATATTAACCCAGTTCTCCTAATGCCAAATGTGTTATATTCACAAGTTTGAAATATATTGTTTTAGGGTCTACCATGTGCCCAACCTATTCTACATACAAAGAACGATCAAGACAAGGTCTTCACCCTCATAAAACTTATCTTGTAGTGAGTTCTCACAATCTTATATAATATTTTCACATACTAAATATGGTTTTGTATTTATGTCAATTCCTAGCTTTCAGAGTCATCTCCATCTTTATAATTCATCATTTCCCATTCTCTTCCTTTCTCTCTTTCTCTCAAAATGAAGAACTATTTCATATTCATTTGAAAATACCTCTGAGGATGGAGCAAAGTAAATTGAAGGAGAAAAATATCCAACCACATTCCATTAAAAACACGTTTATGTCTCTTAGGCAGACAAATTTTCAATATATTTTATTTATGTGCATTGCTCCTTTGTTTCAAAACATATGTAAGGTGGCTTACATAAATATGCAACACAAGAAGATGAAAGAAGATAGAAAGAAAATGTGGGCAAAGAAAACATAGAAAAAGTATGTTGAATCCCATTGAAACCTGAGTGGGGATGATACACAAGTAAGGATAGTGCTTTTCTTTTTCTTTTTTTTCTTTTCCCTCTTTAATTTCATCCCTCCTTCCCCCTCTCCCCCTCCCGTCCCATCCCGTCCCATCCCCTCCCACCCCTGATCTATAGATGTTGCCATTTCCCCTTAAGAACTGGCAGGGCGTCTCCTCCCACAAACTCTCAGAGAGCAACCGAGGGCCTGGGGGCCTGGCACACCCGGGGTAAGGTGGCCTGGAGCGCCCAGGATACTGGATCTCTGAAGGCAGGGCGTCTCCTCCCACAAGCTCTCAGCGAGCAACGGAGGGCCTGGGGGCCTGGCGCACCCGGGGTAAGGTGGCCTGGAACGCCCAGGATATGGTCCGTAGCTCCACCTGCGGTGCGAACCCAGGACCTTCTGCGTGTAAAGCAGATGTGCTAACCACTATACTATGGAGTCACCCCCAGGACAGTGCTTCTCTTGATGTCATGTACTCTTAGTAGATGTGGACCGCACATTTGGTCAAAACTTTCTAGTAACAATGTTAAGAAATTAAGAATATATGTTTTGCCATTGAAGGACATCATAAGATCGAAACCAGTTAATTTTCAAGAGAAATACAGCTACTTCTTTTACTGTGATAAAAAAAATTCTGCCCAGTTTTTATGAAAGAATACTGTAATATATACAATGTTCTCAACAATATCCTTACAGTATTACAGCCAGCATGCTCATTCACCCTGAGGCTTTAGATGGTAGTGAATGGCATCCCAGCTTCCCAGGTATCTCTATTCTGGGAAAGGCCATGCCTTAAATAGAAGATATGGATAATCAAAACTCTGAAAAAATATACGTAGGATAAATAAATAAATTAGCATTGTGGTTTGTGCATTTATAAGTAGTTCACATATAGAGAAAATCAACAACAATTCTTTTGAAACACAGCCTACCAATGAATACCAAAGATACACTACACCCCAGTTCCATGAATACAGTCAGCTATGGAGAGATGATGTTGTATGAGAAACTAAAATGAGAAAAGAGAATCAGATAAGCAGAAAAAAATGTTTTAAAGGCCAGATATGAATAGCTTCATTTATCCAGCAAATACTTATTGAGTGCCCAGTGTGTACTGTAATAGGAGATGAAGTGAAGAGAAAGAGAGATTTCATCCTCACCCTCATGGAATAAACAATTTAGTGAGAATAAATGTCAGTGTGGCAGACTGTCAGCTGATCACCAAAGCCATTCCTCGTCTTCCTGGCACAGATAAAGTCAAGTACATTTCCTGGTTTCCTGTGTGGTTAGATGTAGTGATATACTGAATAGTAGCCAATAGAATGCAAGTGGGAGTGATGATTGTCATTTAAAATCCTGGCCTATAAAATCTCCCATATAAGATAAGATCCTCCATGATCTTTCCTCAAGTACTATCCAGGTTTTATGATGCAGGGAGAGTTAGAAGTTACAACCTAAAGGTGAAAGAGTTACTGGCAGCCTAGGTTCTTGATGACTTTGGAACAGAGCACCCAGTCACTGGCTTGGCCCTACATTGGCTCTTTCCTTAAGGATAAATGGACTTACCCTATATCAGGTAAACACAAATGAAATAAAATTTTGGAATTTGTTGTCATTGTAGTTTGTTTCCCTTCCCTTGCCGACAGTAAAAACATAATTGCAATTCAAGATGATAAGTGCTATCTATGATAGAGAATATACAGTGTACTGTGGGATTCCAGAGTAGGAGAACAGAACCAAGACACAGGAGCTCAAGGAAGGCTTTTGGAAGTTGTGAAATATCAACTAGGTCTGAAGGATGACAAGAATTAGTAGGACAAGTTGGGAGCTGGGGGAAGAAAGAGGAGAAACAAGGAGAAGAATGTTCCAAGCAGTATGAATAGAAAAGTTGAGAGAGGACTGAAGTCAGTTCAAAATTTAAAGGCACTGTATGCAAAGTAAGAGATAAGGATGGGGAAATAAGAAGGAGCTATATCCCAAAGACCCCACTGAGGAAATGACATTCGACTGGTCCTTACAAAATACTCTAACCCAAGAATAAGTCAGTGGTGGCCTGGACTATAGGGGATGAAGAGTTGTGCACAGATTTAAAATGTGGACTCAACAAGGCTTGGCAAATGATTGGATACAAAAAGTAAAGAAGAGAGAGAAAGTCAAAGTTATTCCCAGTTTTCTGGCTTGGGCAGCTTTTTGGATCATGGTATTATTAGCTGAAAGAAGAAACAGAGGAGAAGCAGTTTTAGAAGTGGCTAGAGGCACAAAGATGAATTAAATTTTGGACAGATTGATTTTGAGTGCATATGAGACATTGATTCCAGCAGAGATGACCATGTGAGTTTGACTTTTAGGACTGAAACTGGGATGCAAATAGCATATATTTGTGAGACATCAGCACGTAGACAATAATTGAAGTAGCTGAGAGTATCGAGGGTGGTGAGTTCAGGGAGAAGAGGAGGGAGCCTAGAAAGTAACAATAAAGAATGTTTTCATATAAGGGACTAGAAGTAGAAAAGAAGATTGGAAGGGAAGAGCCAGAAAGGCAGGAAGAAAGCATATTGTGTTAGAATAGTCAGAGTGACTGAGGGTTTCTGGAAGCAGGGCAAGTCCATCCGATTCAGCAAATACTTATTGGTGAACTCTGTGTGCCAGTCACTGGGTCAGTGATGCCCAATGCTGCAAAGGAGATAGATTTCCATAGAGCTCTTGATTGCTAAGAAGCCATTATATTAGACCCATCAACCTGTACACAGAGTCTAGGAGACAGATTTGCAAAGCACTTGAAGATTTGTGAAAGCATTGTGAAAACTGTTAAAAGCCTGAATTACAGAGCAAGACTCCCTGGGTTGAATCCTGACTTAGTTTTAAGTTGTGTATGATTTTAAGAAACTCTATTGACTTTTCCTTCTTCCTCAAAATCCTCACTTATAAAACAGTACTTTTCTAGTAGGGTGATACCAAAGATTTAGAGTCATACCTATCAAGTACTTAGAAGAGTGCCTGGCATGAGGTAAGTGTTAAAAAGTAATCTTAGAAGCTATAAAGTAGGGCATCCAAGTTTAGTTCAGGTGTTCAAAATATAAGCATACCCTAGTAAACAGGCAATTTGAATTTCTTGATGAGTTTAAAATTGCCCCATTTCTCTTGGTCTTTCTAGAAGAAGGTTGATTCAGGGTAAACAATCTCTACTTCCCCAGGCTGACCCAGCTCAAGAAATGCATTCCAGAGGCTGCACTAGAAAAGAAAGATACTGAGGAACACTTCATAATGATAAAAGGAATCATGCACCAACAAGACTTATTAATATCTATGTTCCCAATCAGGGAGCCCTGAAATATGTAAAGCAATTACTAACAGAACTAAAGGGAGAAACAGATGAACACTTCTCATAGTTAGGGGACCCAAATACCTCACTGTCAGATATGGACAGATCATCCAAACAAAAACTCAATAAGGAAATAACATCCTTAAATGACACATTAGACCAACTGGACATAACTGACATTTACAGAGCCTTCCATCCCAAAACAGCTGCTCATACATTCTTCTCTAGTGCACATGGAACATTCTCAAGAATCGACCACATACTAGGACACAGAGATAGCCTCAACAAATATAAGAGGGTTGAAATCAAACCAACCATAGTCTCTGATCATAATGCTTTGAAACTAGAGATCAACTGCAAAAAGAAATCAGGAAGAACCACAAAT